AAAAAAAAAAAAAAAAAAAAAAAAAAAAAAAAAAAAAAAAAAAAAAAAAATCACACACGTACATTGGACATCTAGGGATAATGTAATTCGTACTTACCAACATACCTATTGATGGGCACAATAGCCAACGCTATCAGGAAAGAGGAAAACAAAAACAAAAAAATCATTATAATAATTCCTGTAATTTTATTAAATGGAGTTTATTGTGTAAGTGTTTCTTTGGCTTTGCGTTTGGGTTGAATACGAGTGGGTTGTGATAACGTGGTGTGTTTCTGTGAAGAAGGAGTTTTGTGTTTTTTAATTGTATTTATGGTGTTTCTTTGTTCCTGAGGTCGTATTTGTGAGGTTGCTTGGGTTTTTTGTGGAGATATTGCAGTATTTTGTGAGCCTGTGGTGCTGTTAAGGTTTTTGCGTTTCGGTTGTATACGAGTGGGTTGTTTCTGAGAAGAAGGAGTATTGTGTTTTTTAACTGTGTGTTATTATTATTATTATTATTATTATTATTATTATTATTATAAAGTAGTTTCCCCTCTAAGTGTAGGTATTTCAAAATCAAGTGTAGGATAAATCAATTCCATTCCATCATAATTTCACTACAATTCCACAAGAATTTCCGTTAATGTAATACAAAATTTTTCCTTACAGATTATACAAAACCGTTTTTTTGAGCAAATGTCGATTATAATAGTGTGCTTAATTAAGTAGGCCCACAAGTAGTGAAGGCACCTAAAATTCACGACCCGCAATGGGGGTTTACAGTATAGTTGAATTCCGCAGTTCTAATTTAATAAGCGTGTACCTGAAACCATAAAACATTTTTTTGAACAGTAAAAGTTTATTTAAAAATAGAGGCTGATTAGCAAAAAAAATAATGAACATGTGCGGTTTTAAAGGTTTATTCAAAACGATATGATTGTGGCGGGCTCTGTGACGTAATAAGCCCGACCAATCAGCTCCTAGAACCATTCAGATGACATAACGACTTGGCAATATTGCAGGAGAATGGCATTTATAACTTGCGTCATCTGTCACAGGCACTTGTCACTTTCGTGCTAGATGCAGTTAAACATCCCTCTCAAAACGTCAAATGTGACAAACGTCAGACCCTCGCGTAAGGTTGCCAGCTCACTTCTACGTGATTGGTTGTAGGTTTGTGACGTATTTAGTCTGAAGCGTTTCAAATTCGGACTAAAAACACAGCTTTTCAATAATTTTTTTTGGGTTTATTTTACTCGCAAATAAAAATTGAGGACACACGGGTCTTTTTATTTTTAATGTACTTTGTGGATCAGAAATAAAAAATGAAGGCGGGATGAGCCCATTGTGGGAAACACACCATTATCACCCAACCTGGTAACAATTTGAAAAAAAAAAAGGAATTCAATTCCAACTTGTCAAATCTTCTTTGTTTGCTATGAGCATTTAAGATTATAGGGTCAGGGAAAGAATACATTATACATAAGAAGTGTTGCAGTTTGCTGGACTGATTGTGCAATAATGCTCTCTAAACCTCTAATGCATACTACAAATTCCACCAAAACAGTTACAGTTTTAACATTGAACCCTTTTCATGGCAATATAAATTTTTGAATAGAAATCATTTGAAAAGGATTTATAACTGCGGTGTAACACTAATGAATAATTCCAAGTCGAACGTAAAAATCATCCGAAGCTTTTACTCACTCACGGTATTGAAAGCAATACGTTTAGATTTAAAAAGAGATCGGAGCTTTTGAATTTTGAAGCTTTTGACTTACACAGCTCTATAATCGCGGGACTGCGAGTTCTTTTTGTTCCAGGGATTGTCGCCCGTTTTGACATAAAATGGATTATTATGTATAAATGACTATTTACAAACGTTCACTGTCTACTTTTTAATATCAATGATTGAAATGGTGTGGTTTATATGCCTGTACAATTTTCACAAAAGGAAAATTTTATAGAAAAATGTTTTGATCTCTAGCGAATTATTTTCCATGTCAAAGGTAATGCGATTGTCACTTGATGAACAAAAGACACACCCCCAACATGAATTTTGATGTTGCAATATTAACGCATGTCACGTTAGTTGGAACGTGGAAAGTTCTTCACTTTGGAAGATGATTCTGATTCGGTTTAGATTTCCAATTATTATGATTTTTAAGACATAATAGTAAATGACCAAATATTTGTAAAGGTACGCAAATGTGTACTACCTATTTTCATAAGCAATTTGGATTTATGAATTACGCTCGGAATTACGCTTTACCTTGTTAAACAAATTCTTGGGTTAGTGCCAACAATTTGTTCAACTTGTGTTCTATGCAAAGTTCACAAGATAATAAGGGTCGCGAGTCAATCAGGGAGTAACCATATACCTCGCGATTTAAAATAGTAGATTGTGCTCTAGTTCTATGAATGAACCATTCAGCGCAGGCTGTGTTGGGTCGATACTTCGCCGCCAATTTTCGTGGGTGGTTATGGCTACAACTCGCCCCTCTGTTTTCTTAAGACAATTTGGACGGGTACCGTTCCATATTTTACTCACGGGAATTTTTCCCGAGCAATGAAGAAATCAATAATTTGCACGCGCCCATCAGAAAATTTTTTGCAACCTACCCTCTACTTATCTACATATACTTACCTAGTAAAATGTCAATCAAAATTGAAATATAAATGTACAATTGATGGGGCCGACCCTTATAAATAAAACAAGATTGCATCTGAAGCCGTTTCGGCATGCCAATTTTTGATTCGAGCGTCGGGGTGTCCACCACCTTTCCTATCTTCTCTTATAAGCCAACATGTTTATTAGCTAATTCGTTCTTCACGTTCCCAAAAATGTTCTCCGTGTGCACTTACAGATTATATGGAGGGTGCGGTATCTCCATAAGGATGGATTAAATTAATTTTGATTCGAATTAGTTTCCGTATCACATACAGTTTAAGCGTTTAAATATAATATGAGAACTTTAATTATTACTTTACGAAAAATTTCTCTTATTAGGTATTGATTAAAATTTGGCCGACTTGCAGTCGAATTGCGCGCGCTTGCGAATAGATCTTTCGTAAAACTGCGAACTGGGATAAAATCCTAGTTCCACCCTCGATAGGATGTTTCTGTTTTCTCTCTCTCGCTAGTTGGTATGCTACTGGCTACGTCTTCTTTAGAAGTGGCGCCGGCGCTTCTATATCGGCCCACGCTCCGTAAAGCATCTTGGCACATCTAAAATGTATTAGTAAAGGGATCCACGCACTAAAAAATTTTGCCGCCAGCTTTTTCAATTTAAATTGATGTCGCACGCAATGCCATATTGCTTTCGTGTGACTAAGAGGTGGTTACCCACTAACAAATGACTACTTAGTACACGACGCGAGCGATTTAATTGGCGCTGTCAAATCGCACGTTACGTGTATGGACCGCTTTGATCTCTGTCTTTTACTATCGAGCAAAATGACTTACTAATTGTATGTTTATACGAAAGGTTGATTCTAATAGGTTGTTTGTCGCCGTGATTGGTAGGTGTGTACGTAGGTGAGAATACATTAAAACGCATATCTCTGTCCTATGTAATTTTATTTACTTAAAATGAAAATTGCTCATACTTTCTCTACAATAATCTTGGGGTTACATTCAACGTAGATAGACTTCAGAACAGGAACTGTTAAAATTTAATACATTCAACATTCATAGAAATTTACCTTACATTGTTTAATAAGTAATGAAAAGTCTTCACAGCTCTATCTAAAAAGGAATTACTTACTAACAATATACTATAATTTACAAAATCTCCGAATGAAAAATGTGATCTTACAAGCTACGAAAAATTAAATATCGTACCCAAATTTCGATCCCTAAATATAAAGTATTTTATCTAATTTTTATTATCTTAATGTTGCTAAACAATTTTACTGCTTTAATAATTAGGCAGAGGTCATAGTTTGTAGCTGATACAAATCTCAATGGAAGTTCTGTTTGTTTTAATTTGAACCACTACAATGCACAGTACCGCTACAGATTTGATTTAAACTATTACCTCTACGGTTATCCGTAACAATTTCGCCGTTATTAAATTAGAGAAGCACACATCTAGGGATGACACCCTTAAATACAATCGAGTTTTAGCAGGCGATTTGCGATTCAAAAATAATCTGATGCGTAATTTATATAGTTTCATAAGCGTTTTTGGTACAATCTTAACAAGCAACGCATCACATTTTTGACAAATTTATTGCTTTAAAGATAAATTTTGGTCGATGGAGGAAAAGTCTAAGATTACCTAGCCTCAATGCAGAAACCTAGTAGAATGGGGTAGAAAACAATTAATAATCTGAAATTGTGTGCAGTTTGGTTGGAGGAGGAGATCTCTTCCAAAATGAATGCATCAATGGAGTATAACCTGCTGCAGCAGTTTGAAATTTTAAGACTTCGGTAGTGGTCTGGTCTTTATACGCTTACATTCCGCGATCTTCTTCATGGTCGTATGTAAACTTCTTTAAAATGGATGCCGACATTAATGTCTTTATTGTAAAATGTAAACATTGCTTTGGAGCACGAGGGTAGGGTACGAATCGATTTGGGTGACGAGAATTCCTCGTTGCGAGTAGGGGTGAATTTCCGTGCTGCGGGAATTTCAAGACAGGATAATCCCGAAGATTCACTCTCAGGATATCTCACAAATACATAGTATGTACAGCACTGGATTTACGGACGTACATTTCACTTACATTGACGGTTCATGTACGTACATTATTTTTGCACTTGTTGCATTGTACATGCTAGATACGTACTTTGCCGTACGTGGGCAAGTAGATTATACATACACAACAGTATGTCTAATGTACGTAGGACAAAGTACGTACCTAGCATGTACAAAGTAGTGTAAAAATAACGTACCATGTACGTACATGAACCGTAAGTGTACGTGACAAGTACGTCCGTTAATCGAGTGCTGTACGTACTACGTATTTGTAATGTACATACGTACCTACTTGTGTTATTTAGGAGGTGAATTTTCCGAAATTCTTGAAAGTAAAATGTTTTTGAATTTGGAATTTCAGATAAATTAAAAATTCGTGTACGGTAAATTTGCTCCTGAATGCTCGGTCCCTTAAATATATTTATGTTCAGAACCAACGCAACTCTTCTTTGGAAACACACTCAAGGAAAATGTGGACCGAATACCATGCGGCATTTTTCCTCTTACAATCTTGACAATATTGAAACCGCCTGCAAAGATTCAGGATCAGGCGACCACTTACCCGCCGGTCAGTTGCGATTGAATATTTGTACAGCCAGGTAGGGACGCAGGTAAAGATTTTAGTTTGGGTTCTGTAAAAAACAGTGCGATTGTCGATGGTCTTAAATCCTAACTTGAATATGAACTGCGTGACCGAGTGTTTCGGTTAGCACAGTGGCTCGCGACCGAATTTGGACCGGTAACTCAGTCTACCCTTTACTTTTGAAGATAGGTTATGAAATAGCCCAAAACCTAACCCTGTATTTTAGTGATTTAAAAAAACCAGAACCCATTTTACTCAGGTGAACTAGGTCAAATTGAGTTCCCAAGAAGCAATAGTAAATTATTAATTTCAAATGGGGTGTCTACCATTCAAAGAACTTCTCTCCAGGCCTACAATAGTACTTGAGGTTGACGCTTTTATACAGGATTCCATACACCCAAGACCCACATATTTTATTCATAACGGCGCTGGCGGGCAATTTGCGGGTGGAATATGCGGGTATTTTTACAGCCAAGTTCTTGGGGGGAAGGTACCTACAAGATTTTTTTTTGGAGGTGAATCAAGGTTTAGTAAATTTTCCGGCAAGGTTTCTTGATTGTGTACATCACAGGGTGGGCGTTTCGAGTAAAATAATATTTCAGGGGCGACGTCATTGGGATGAATTTTCTGCACGATACTGGAATAAGTCACGGAGACGGGAATTTCGTGATCCAATTCTTGGATGCGGGATATTCTAGAACCGGATTTTCTGGGGACGAATATTTTGGATCTTATCTTACTGCAAGTTCAAAAAATTGATAATTTAGGGGTGTAGTAAACTCACCCTGGAAAACTCGTTTCACCGGTAAAGATTCGCCTCCAGTTTATTACTAACAAAACTCGTCCCCGGGTAAGCTCGCAGTATTCTCCCGACAGAAACTCGCTCCCAGAACATTTTCTCCAAAAAAATTCAAGGCAGGTGAATAGTTGCCCATGTTTCCCATACCGAGTGGTATTGCAAGGATAATTGTCATTCCTTGACATAAAAAGAAGTCATTCATAGCTTACCCAACCTTTTCTGAAGAATCGCTCCCTTAAGGAGCAAAAAAATGGCTACCGCCCCCTAATCGTTTAATATAATAATAATAGGTAAATTTATCGAGGCAAATATTCTTGGAACTTATACATTTTACTTAATACGGAGGAGGGGCTCAAATTTAAATGGATACTTCGAAACAGCGTATGCGGTAAATCCTTCCCCAAAATCTTGTCCCCAGAGTATTTGTTACTAAGGATACTAACCCCATGTAAGAAAGCTCACCTCTTGGTGAGTACCACACGAGCGTAAGGGGTTGAATTTTACTTAAAGGCGAATATTACTAAAATGACGTTTCTTGTGGGATAATATTTCATGAACAAACATTTCGATCGTGAATGTCACGAGGGAGGAATGCCCTAGGTACGACTATTACGGGAGTGTTATTATTTTCAGTGCTTTTTTTTAAATTAAAGTATACCTATACCAATACCCTCTATCTTATCACACAACATCAAAAGGCGACAGATCTAACGTCGGTTTAAGGGCGACAAAGCTAAATACCTAGCGCATCCGGAAAGTAAGGGTCTCTATTTTTTTGTCTCAAAGTAAAAGTATTGTTGTGTACAATTTACGTAGTATGGACGATGTCTAAATGTTCGCATTGTAATTTGTTTATTTAATTGTTTATTTACGTGTTGTAGGATAAGGAAAATTACTTGTGTCATATTTAAAAAGTTTATCTCATGTTTCTTCTCCTTTCGTAGATAAGAATTGCTTATCGCTAAAAATTAATTTAATTTGTAAACCGATGCGTTATAGCAGGTGCGCGTTTAGATAAGCAAATGTTGTGTATTTTACGCATAATAGAATTAGGAAGTGGAATTAAAGAGAGGGAAATGTGTAAATAAAAGAGAAAGTGTTGTATCGTGGCCGATTACCTTCAACCGTTGGTCTGCGGCCGCCGCCGTTGCATGGACCGCATGAACAATACTTTTACTTTAAAAGAAAAAAAACAATAGGGAGACTTACTTTCTGGATACGCTACGTAAATGCGAATGTTTAAAGAGAACATCTGATGTTGCATGTTCTGACTTTTCAACAAACGCTAAACCACATATAATAGTGGATTATAGAAGTCCACTGAAAATTTTAGCAAGGAGAAGGTTCGCTTTTCCCTTTTTAGAAAGACTTATTTTTAACCAGAAATAATGAGTTGATGGATACCCCAAAATTCAGTAGAATCCGCCTCAGCAAATTTGAGATTCCAGCTTTTAAGCTGAACTAACTGCTGACTGTACCACTGCACCCTATTTATAGTGGTACTCAATGTCGATATTGGTTTCAACCTCACTGCTGAATTCTAAAGATGTAGTTTTTGTTTGTAAAATTGTAAAAATTAAAAATCTTAGACTTTTTCCCACACACCTTAAATGATAATAATAATAGTATATATTGCGCTCCCTATTTTTGGTGTTTTAACAATCCTCAACAAACATCAACTTTCAAAAATATGATTTTGCCGACCTACATCTTCTTAAATAGGTACATATATTTTTTTCTTATAACATAAAAATATACGAATGTACAATATTCCCATTTGTTCGAAATGTATATACGCATTACCTTCTATGTACAGTTTCATTCGCACAATTTTAATCACAAGGTCTGTAATTACATCTTCGACTCAAGGAAATTTACCGAATGCACCTACGCAAAAGTACTCGTCACTCGAAGAAATAAAACGCCCAGTAACCGACGTTGAATAACAAAAACGTTACTGGAAATATGATCCTTGAATACTTATCGATAACATTTACATCTTTTATTTTCGGCATGGACGCTTTTAGGGCGCAAGCGCCCTTACGGATTACGTGGAAAACTTTCGGTTTATGAAGTGGATTTCCTGCAAGAGCGGCAATTAGTAAAGGCGTAGACGATTAATGCTACTTACCCTTAGAGCCTCTATAACGAAGACCCGGCGTGGACCGGGGATTGAAGCCATAACCTACGGATCTTGAAATTCGAAAACTAGGAGGAAATTTTGAAGGATCTACTTCGCCCGTGGCACCACCAGATGTTGATTTCGAACTGTTATGTCGATTTCTGATTGATGCTATAGGGCTCATGCGAACGTCTTGCAGTTCAATGATGTCTTCATTGTGCGGTTGATAAGTTGTATCAGTCGATTTGGTCCCTGATGAATATAATTAAAATTTTATTATATTCTTATGTGGTACTTTTTGCCTATGTTGTAAACTTAAATACTACATTTATCCCACAACAGTACAAATGCTCAAATATAATTTAAGAGTACCTAATTCGAGAGTTTACTCAAATGTTTGGCAGTTCTTCTAGAATTGGCGAGTGTAACCAGACTTCCGTATACACGAAAATTTGTATAAGGATTTTTAAATTGATAAGAGTGCTTAAGTTATATTTAGGTATAACTGTCACCTTGAATACATGTGTTTTTGCATTGCCAGGAAATATGTGTTTCAATTATAACTACCAAAGTTGGTATTATATTATTTAACCGTGAGGATGCTGAAAGGGAATTAGAAACATAAAGTAACAACCGCGGTTATAAATGCAATTTTGTTACACATGTGAATAGAATAGGATCATAAATACTACTTTGCGTATGTATATTCGGAATGAGGTAATTGGGAATGAGTCATTGATATAAAATAACCACAAGGATAGTCGATAACTATGTCTGTTCATAGTTTCATACAAGAACGAAATTATATCGAGAATCAAGTATCATCTCCATAGAGCGGTGCCCGGATGAAATTTCCACCCGCATTTTTTAGGAAAACGAGGACGCGAAAACTTCCACGAAGCCACGCCCGCTAACCATCCAGTCATTCCAACCAGAGACAGGGAAATCAGGAATTCTGCAGTCGGTCCGTGTACCGTTAACTACGTTCAAGTTTTGGGGCGAATCCAGACCACTTCACATTAAAGCATCCACGAAAGCGCATCGAGAACTCCTAGTGCATAAACAAGATATTTATCGACGTCGTAGGTTACTCCATTGTCGAATTGCCTTATCGTAGTTGCCCCGTTGTAGATATTCAATTTTAACTACGTACGTGCCATTTGAGAAGAGAGAAATCTATAACGAATTAATACCTTTTGAGCAAGAATTACGCATTTACAACATTTCTAAAAGGAAAAAAATAACACTGAGAAACACATTCAAATGAAACGAACTAACTTTGCGCATATTTCGTAAATAATGCCCCAGATTCTTCAGCCATTGAAAATGTAACTAAGTAGAAAGACGTAGAAAGCTCATTGAAGTTTCAAGTATACATCAATTTCGTCGGGGAAACGGCAAAACACATGACTTTGACAGGAACTAAGTGCTTTTCATGCTATACTTGCTCGTATTTTGGTTAAGTTGGTTGATCAAAATATTTATTCAATAATTTCATAAGGAAAACTGCACAACTATAATTTATGTGTTCTTTCTGTCTTCGTCAATATTGGGGCGACTTAGTTGGGAACGCAGCCAAAAGATATTGTGGTCCGCACATATGCGTAGACTTTTTAAGCTGTTTTTAGCGTCGAGTTGTTCTCTCGCTCGTCCGTCCGTCCGCTCGATGGCTTCATGTCTCCCGATTTAAAATAGAACGGAGACTGATTACGATAAAATTTTACAGGTGGATTCTTAATCAAATTTTTAGATCGAAGTTCGTAAATTGGGAAATGTGAGCCAAGAAATAAGAAAGGCCCTTTTGACATCTCCGTTAGTTATGAACCGAATTGCATGAAATTCAAACTGGGCATAGCCAGTACATAAAATGTAATGTCACCGCTTTGGCACTTTTGATTATATATCGTCAGGGTGGTTTAACTCGTGCATGTTAGTGCTAGCATATTCAAATTATGTTTTTATTCAAGAACAACTCCCGCCAGAGTGGGGGCCTCCGTTAACAACTCCACGCCAACTAAAATGACGCGGGCGACATCACGGCCATCAAATTTCGCTGTCTTAAAGGGGAGCCCCCCCCCCCATGAATTATTTCCTGAGATGCTGTTTTTGAAAGTAAAACGTGCATAACTTTTACATACCCCAACCAATTGGTCTCAGATTTTGCAAACGTATGCGTTTAGTGGTGTCAAGTTAAACTTTTGGGGGGTTAACACATGTTCTACTACCCTTCATGGTATTCTAATGAAAGGTCTCAAACTATAACTTTCTCGGGCGACTCTTTTTCGAGATTAGTGGGCGATGGGTTCGGGGGGGGGGGGGGGAGTGGAACTGGTTTTATCCTTCATAGTACTCTAATGAAAGGTCTCAACGAAAGGAATTAATTCCTACCAACCATAGTCCTCCTCCTTGACCCCTTATCGTGATCGGATACATTCCCTTATATCTCCAGAAAGGATTGTCGGAAGAGGGTACTCACAAAGGGCGATTGGGACGTCTGGAAAAAATATATCCGGTTGTAAAACCGCTGTTCATAAAATGAATCCCCATACAAATACTGATTTTCGTAGAATGCTTAAGGATAATTATGGTCAATAGACGAGTGTAATAGTACGTAGTGTAACACCTTTGTTCTTTAATCACCTGTGGTTCCTTTACCAAGTTACATCCTTTTTAGTGGAAATATATTACATTCTGAGCACAGCGCAATAAAACCATGGATTTGAGAACTACAAGATCTACAGTTTTTTGAGTTGCGTGGCATTGATTAACGACTTTAAAATCATTTGGGATTGGTGGTAGCAAAAGACATTAACCAATAAACAATTACGAAAATGTTATTGCAGAATTAAATAGTTTTTTTGGGCTTCTCCGGTAGTCCTTGTGAAGAAGAAACAACGTGACTAAGAAAGAAGGATCTTTAGGTAGAACGACAACGTTCAAAACTCAAGGAAACCCTAACTACATCGCCAATCCTTGGATATGTTGATACGCATGGCAACTTTGTATTGGACACGGGACGCTAACAACGTGGGAATTGGAGTTCTGTCCCAAATCCAGAATGGACAAGAAAGAGTAATAAGATATTTCAGTAAGACGTTATCGAAACCATAACAGAACTACTGCGTTTCAATATGTATTGTTCAGATTTTGGATTTGATTTACATTAGAGGTATTTTATAGTCAAAGTGGTTACTACGATTTATTTTACATGGCAGGGTTTTTAAATGAAACATATGTCCAAGGAAAGTGCATATGGGAAACATTTGTAATGTGCAATTCATTTTTAATATACAGTTGTATGGCCATTTAGTGAATCCAAGTTCAAAATTTTGTAGTTAAATTTCAAGGAGGGAAAAGGAGAAATCTACAGTAAGCAAAATCACCAAAAGAGGCAAATAATAAACAATTTTTGCTTTTTTTAAGAAGTTTTCCAAATGAAATAACGTTTTATGCTTCTTACATTTCAATACCAGTAATTGCAATTATTCGTTCAAAATGAAATAAAAACTAATATTACACTACTGGATAGATTGACGTCTGATTATAACGTCGTGGGTTGCGAAACGAGGAAATGAAACTTTGAAGTGGCGCGTAGGAGTAGTATAACAGAATTTTTGAGAGCTTGTCATTGTTAATACAATTTTCTAAAGGATCGCTACTGGGTAAACACATAAATTATTCTCTAACTACATACTAATCTAAATCTTACGGGGGCGTACATTTCGGAATATGCACATTCACGCTATGGGCGACGTTTTCGAGTCGGGCCCACTCACGGATTTCATCTATGTATGACACAGGTGTTAAATTTATTACACTATTAAGCACAATTGAATGTTCAAACATGCTTCCTTGTATACGGTGCGTACCTATATCTACATCCAATTAAATTTATAAATTATTCAGAACGCAGGGTAAACATCGTCATTATCGTTAATTGTGGTGTTGTTTACTGCTTAGTGTCTCTTAGTAATTTACGATATTGTCATGTGAAAATGTTAAACGAGACTTGTACCCCTTAAAAGGTCGTAGTTATACGAATAGGGGCTGGATGCATTGTGCTTTGAGCACTTCCAATCAATCACTTTTTTGTACGATACGCTCTCAGTAGGGAACCGTAATGAAATACATTGTGAACATCAAGCAGGTTGCAGATTTTTGGCGAAACTAGGTTGAAAAATGGAGATTTTATTAAACAAGACATTATCCAAAAAGGTTGGTAGTGTGAGCAAGTACTCCATCAGTTTCAAGCAATATTACCGAAAAAAACATTGAACTTCTTCAGACTGATCTTCACCTGTAACAAACTCTGTACAAATGCTTGGGGAAAATTTTCAGTCTAAAAATAATCTCGTTTTTGTATAACCATAACTCTTACTGAATAAGATGTTACGTGGAGTAATAAAAATTAAATAGTATAAGAAGGCGCTTAAAAGAATTAAATCTAATATACGATTACACATTAATCTTGCACACAAAGCGTTGAAGGAGGGAAATAGTGTCGGATAATAAACCAGTCAGTTAAAAAGGTATAAATCTCGATTTCTGTAATTTGGTGCGAATTAAAATTGGATAATGTCTTAAGGCGCGGCGGTTTAAAACGTAGAAGAGATTGGTGGAGGTTAAAAGAAACGACAAAATTTTACCTAAGAAAGTCATAGAATGTGAAAATGCGCTTATTACAAAATTTATGCGCCTTCATGTTTGTTTGCGACCTCACGCATAATTCATGAAGAAGCTACATTTTTCATTCCCTAATTTGTATTGTGCTTTTATTTTTCTTTTAGAGCTGTACTTCTCTCCTATAGGAAGTAGAAGTTTTGGGTTTGCAGAATTATATTAGATTCCTTCCTTTCTTAGCGAACCATATCTCTTGTGTTCCGTTGCATACTGTACAATATAAATTGACCTAGCAATTTTATATTTTTTTATTGGCGCCTTTTTACTCCTCCAAACAAACTTTTTGTTTCACGATTTTCATTGGCTATTTTGCTTGTAGCCTATGAAAATAAAATACCTTCTTAATACTAATAGAAGCAATATTTCATATCATCTTGATAAATAAAGCGTTCATTACTCTTTTCAGCGACATAGGGGTTGAGATTGCTGTGAACCACCTGGCAGCACAACATGACCTTTACAAAAATACCAAACACTGAACTTTAGGGCTAACACTTAAAACAAGTTAAAAAGTAGTCGTAAACGATTTACATAAAGCGCATTTCCACTTGCATTCATTTCCCATTTATAAGATGCAACTTCTGATAAAATCGTAAAAATCCGGCCACAAATATGAAAGATAGCGTTGCACATGGGCAATCCATTTTTGACGTGTTACTTCAATTTCAGTTTATGAGAAGAATTTCATTTCAATGCTTTTCTAAATAAGAAAGTTGGAACTGCGCAAACCTAAATTTTAAAACTAATGTTAGATTTTCCTTTGTTCCAAGCGCAAGTATCAAATTTCACTTAAATGGTGCCATAGATAAAAAAGTTGGCACTGCGCATGCGCAAAAGAAAATTTTGAGACTGGCGCTCGATGATCCTTTATTCCAAGTGCCTATGTATCAAATTTCATTTAAATTCTTCCATAAATAAAATAGTTGGAACTGCGCATGCGCAAAACCAAATTTTGAAATTGGCGTTTGATTTTCCTTTATCCCAAGTGCCTATGTATCAAATTTCGTTTAAATTCTTCCATAAATAAAAAAGTTGGCACTACGCATGCGCAAAACCAAATTTTGAAATTGGCGTTTGATTTTCCTTTATCCCAAGTGCCTATGTATCAAATTTCGTTTAAATTCTTCCATAAATAAAAAAGTTGGCGCTGCGCATGCGCAAAACCAAATTTTGAAATTGGCGTTTGATTTTCCTTTATCCCAAGTGCCTATGTATCAAATTTCGTTTAAATTCTTCCATAAATAAAAAAGTTTGCACTGCGCATGCGCAAAACCAAATTTTGAAATTGGCGTTTGATTTTCCTTTATTCCAAGTGCCTATGTATCAAATTTCGTGTAAATTCTTCCGCAAATAAAAAAGTTGGCACTGCGCATGCGCAAAACCAAATTTTGAAATTGGCGTTTGACTTTCCTTTATTACAAGTGCCTATGTATCAAATTTCATTCAAATACTTTTATAAGTAAAAAAGTTTGCAATTCGGTTTATAAATGGTCGAGATGCGAAAAGGGCACTGTGAATTCGATTCAACTTTTGGCATTGCGTATTATATGGCTAAAGCTATGCCCATATTGAATTTCATGCAATTCAGTTCATAACTAACGGAGATGTAAAAGCGATCGAACATTTCTAACAAAGTTATCGTTCACACGGACAGATAGATGGACAGACAGACAAAGGAACAGACGGACAGACCAGCATGCAGATCGTTAATAAACGGCAAAAGTGTAAAATTATAGAACATGTAAAAAAACGGTTTTTTGTTTTTTTTTACAATAACTTTTTTTGTAAGCGGTACAGAAAAATTCCTTCCTTGGTACAAGACTCGACACCATAACGAACCAAATAGCGAAAAAAGTAGAACAATAGCTCTTAAGATAAAGAACTAGTAGCGTCGCAAAACGAGCGGACGGACGGACGGACAGCCGGACGGACGGACGGACGGACAAAGTGGCCACAATAGCGCATTTTTTTTTTGTGGAAATGCGCTAAAAATAAAACTGTCAGCTCACTGTTCGCCACTGAAAATGACTTGAAAAGGTCACATAAACTAGAGATCCAAACAGAATTTTCATGAATTTATTTTTACATTTAATCACACACTCGGCTTGCTTAAATTACACAAGACTCTAAACTTACTGGCTTTAAAAATTTAAAAACACTTTAATAAATCTAAAATTAACTATCTTTTCCCAATACTACCTAAATTAAATCGAACCGAAACAAATTTACTGTTAATCAAATAACACGACAGTTAAAAAAATGTCACTTACTTTCAAATACTTGTATGATCTTGACATTATGCTGACTATTGCGAAAATGCGAACTATTAAAATTTTTTTTATACTTCACTGATTTATACTTTAAAAAAACTTTCTTTTAATATCCATCACCCGTCAGCTTTTGAAAAAATCTTGATTTCCCGCATTACCCATTACGGTACTGTAACGTTTTCGCCCAAAGCGGTGTTCAATCTTCCAAAATAGTGGAATGAGCAGCCGACGATATAAATGTCGATGTGACTAGTGGGCTGATTTTTCCTGCATTATTTCTGCATTTGTCGTGCACAAGAGAGAGAGAGAGAGGGAGGAAAGAGAGGTACACATTACCTTTATAGTTTTTTTCTTTGAAATAATAAAATCAATTATAATGATTGTGTAACGGGGGCTACGTTGTTTTTTAATTAAAAATTAATTACTTTTTACTCATAATTCAGAGGAAACGTATGCATATATATAAAAATTCATATTGTATCGTTAACGTGCTGATTTATCACACACTTATCATGCTATAATCAGTAAGATGGTTTGTATAAAGTGCGGGAAGGGGTAGTTAAAACTTTAATTCATAGGTACGCGAAGAGACAGAGTTACTCACTTCATGCATGAAGATCGATCGCATGAATTTTTGTATCCGGGTAGAATTGTTTTTAAGGCCAAATTAAAAGGTCGCGAGGATAAAACCCAGACTTGGTTGGTAAAAACCGGACGGAGATTTTGTAGATAAAACTCGGAGCATAACCCGAACTAAGACACGGTTACGAATCACTTTTGTGGGGGGAATTTTGTACCAATAAACTACTAGATCCTTTATAATTTGGTTATTAGGTATATACATTATTATGTAAAGATAAAAGTTACGAGATCGGTAAAAATACAAAGCCGATCTGATACAATTAGATTAAGCTTTCGTGTATTTATGGAGCGATTTTTGTGAAATTCCGCTTCCGCTATAGCGTTCGCCTAAAATAAAGCCTAATACAGCGACTACAAGGACTGATTACAAAAGAAATTAATTGCCCGTTTCATTTACGTAACTAATTTGATTCTACTTTCTTCCTCCATTTTGAAAATATGGGGTGATCGCTTTTGACGCATAAAAAGGGTAAATCTAACCAAAAAAGTAAGAATCGTCATTATGGCGTCGATGTGCCGATGCAGGAAAAACCCACCAAGTCCAGATCTGGGTTCGGCTTTCACCCACCAAGTCCGGGTCCGGATCCGGCTTTAACCTACCAAGTCCGGGTCCGGGTTTTACCAGTTTCCATCGTGTATCAATATTAACAACTGAGTTTCACCATAAATCGAAAACTTTCCATTTATTAATGGTCGCCTGAAAGCGTATCGTATTGTGTGAAATGGCAGCGTGTTGTTTTTCTTTTGCTTGCGAACTGTATACCCAAAACTACGTAAACTACGACTACGAGACAGCGAACCATGAAACAAATCTGAAGACATCGTTGGCTGCCACACAGATGAAACCTGAGACGACGAGATAAAGAACATTTCTGGAGGACGACAAAGTACAGGCTTTTGCCTTTATTTCTTGCATCTTATTCGGTGAATCGATGAATAAACAAAATCTCGTATAGGTTCGTACGTAGCAACGAACCCTTGATTTAATAAACCGATACAACGAAATATCGAAGGATCCTCGGTATTACCATCCCTTTTTTAACGACCATTTATTTTAACCTTGTAAAATACATATAGTCAACAAAAATACATCAATTTATGTCTTGGACATTCAGATAATTCAGTTAAAAATTAATCGAGAATTTAGCAAACAGAAATCAATATCAAAATGTAGAAAACTGAAAAACTAAATTGACGTTCGAGGGTTTTTTATTAAAGCCGAGAAGCACAAAATTATTAGGGGTAGTCTATACTTTTTTCCGCACTGTATATTATTTTCGTATTTATTGCCCCCTTGTTGCCTACTTTTTCTTTATTAAAACACGCATACAATGTGTAATAGATGTAGATTTCGGATTAATCACAATCAGAAAAAGAGGATGTTTTTGTAAACGTGACCATTTCTGGCAGGAATTCTAATCTACTCATAATACCATGGGATAAATATCAAAATACTACGCACCTGGCCTTTTCTCTTCGACTTCCTTTGACTTTTTGCTCTTCTTTTTCGCTCTTGCTCCCCAATACGTATAATTTACAGCCGCGTATTCAAGAAGAGCAGCAAACACGAAGACGAAACACATCACTAAGTATATGTCAATAGCTTTTACGTAACTTATCCTAGGTAATGAACTGCGAACGCCGGTGCTAATGGTGGTCATGGTGAGGACGGTTGTGATACCTAGACAAGGATAAGAAAGTGTTAATCCATAATCCCATTAATTTCCTTCCTGGAATGTGATTTTATAACGCGCGTATGATAGGGTATTTTATTTTTATTATTGTTTCTTGTCTGTATTAGGATGTATAATTGTCATATTGTCTTATTTATTTACCCTCGTTGAAGATGTAGACTATTTCTTAAAATATACTCGTATATTAATAGTAGATTATATATCAAGGCTCTTGCTGGAAAAGTATGTCATCCGAAGATAGAAGGCCGTATTGCGAGATGGCCGCAAACGCGCCGTGGGTATTTCGGAGACGAAGGAGGAGCGTTGGCGATAAACGACGCGAATCAAAACGACACAGATCAAGACGACACGGATCAAAGCGACACCGCTCAAGGAGTGCAAGTAGCGGAAAAGAAAAGAAGAGAAGTAGTTGTTGTTGCCCAAGCAGCAGTCGAAGAGTACATCTCGAGGCGCTTGCGCCGAGGGATGTAAGGTGCGAAGGCAATAATAGACTTCTCTACCGTGGTATATATACTATTTTTTTCACTACTAGCACTTGAAATCCTCTAAATTAACATATTATATTGATAAGAAAGTGAACGGTTGAACAGAATTTTTTGTTTATTAATTTAACATGTCAATCAAGTACGTAGAAGTACAAGTCAAACAGGCCGTATTTTGTTCTGTCATTGAGATATTTTCAAAGAGTAATTTCGTTCGAATTTTTTCAAAATGTGATAAATTTTAGGTATGTAATTTCTCTGGAAATGGCGGAGGGTGGCAATTATTCATTTTAGAGAACTTGTCCAAACGTTTATTGAGCGAAATTTCCGGTTGTGTTTTCTAAAAGTGACAGCGTGACAGTTCTCATTATTGACTACTAGTTAATAATGTCCACATTATTAACCACTTTGAACAAATGCCGAGAAAGCCTACTTTACAAGTGGAAAAAAGGTTAATTCATGTCATCAGACGCTAGTAGTGAAAAAAAGGTATTAGGCTCAGAATTGGTCCTTTTGGGACATCCCTCTAGCAAAATAGGGTTAGTGTGAGATCTAATGTATATTTATCGGTTTTTTATTATGTCCTTTTTTCTAGGCAATCTTTAGTGTATCCCGAGAGCTATCCATTTATCCTCTAATATATTTATTATAGTTCGACACGTCCTTCAGTAAGGCATAATTGCAGATCAATTACTAACAGTCATACACCATGGATAATAATACCCGAACTCTTTGCGGAAATTGAATTGGTTCGCCGGGAAGCTTTTACTTTTCTACTTATTCTATTACAATACTAGGAAACATTATTTTCGATAAGAAATGTTTAAGTTGTTTTCAATGACTATACATAATACTATAGACATATCGAGATGGTTTTCGTCAGGAACATCAATATTTCTTTTTGATAACACTGAATTTGATGACAAAATCTGGTGGTTTTCCGGACGTTAGAACACTTTTAACTTATAATGAAAAGATAACCTTATAGAAAGTCTTCACGATGGAACAACTTGCTTGGTCACACACGTACTAACTTTTTGCGATAACGGAGAACACATTTAAAAGAAAACTTTCCACGAATTTTTACTCTTTTTACTCACTAGACGAACTTAAATATTTAAACAAAAATAGTAAGAAAACCGGCATCTCGCTATATCTCCAGTATTTAAGGAAACACCACTTCCACCATAAAACAAACTCTTTCTTTAGGAATTTTCAAATAAATCGCCAATCACAATTCGCCTAGATTATCTCGCGTAACTGTAAATTCGCGCGATGCTCGTGGACGCGCAATATTGGCGCGGCAAATTCGCTGTCACGACGGAACGGAACGCGCAAGCATCTCCACTTCTCCATATGAAACACACAATTCTTCGTAACCCTTGCATTTTCTTATCAACGAAAGAACACGCGCATTTATTAAATTTCGCCTAACAATAAAACTCCTTATCGCAACGAACAAATAAAACTTATAAAACACATGTGTCTTACCTCTAACACCTTATTACAAAACGAAACAATTTAAACATAAGTTACGCATGTACAAACATTTCTAAAATGAAAAACTAACACTGAAGTGCACATTCAAGTAAAATAAACCACCTTGTGTTTATTTGTAAATATCCCACCAAATTTGCACTTAATAACGTCTGCGTGACGTAGTTAACAGAGCAATAGTAATAACCATTCTGCAATTGATATGCACCATAGAGAAATAAAATAGTATTCATAACCTTAACCTTTCCTAAGTTCTATGCCCATAACCTACAATTGCCTTTTAAATTCCAGATTCTCTTAACTGGAACAGGTCTCTTTCAGAAAATTGTAGGCATTTGCAGGGCTGCTTTTCGGGTCGATTCTACTCGTTCGTCAGCTTTGGAATAGCTTTGTAATGGGCCTGGAATGCTTTCAAAAGCTCTAGTAATGGCGTCATCTCATTGATTTTTGTAAACGACTTACGGCACTAGGAGACTCTTGAATCCTTTTAAACGCATTCCTATTACGCCTTTTAATACGATACAAAGCACCGCAGACTTTCCAACGCCTCTCGATTTTTTTTACAGCGCTTTCAGCGCCTTGTCAAGGTGTCTTGAAAGTCATTTTTAAGGCTTTCTAGGTTATTACAAGAACCTTCTATATCTTGTCTGTGTCTTCTGGCACTTCTTGGGCCTGCGAAAGCTGTTCGGTCTTTTCTAGATTTGGAAAGGAATCAGACCCTTAAAAAGGACTTTCGATGTTCTTAAAGCGATAAAAGCTTCTGAAAAACATTTTAGATACTCTTCGAAACCTTATAAGTACTTACATAACCTTTGAAGGTTCTGCAGATGATTTTTGGTCCTACGCTGGCCCACTTTTAGAAGTGCATAGAACGCTTGTCTTGAAAGTTTATGGAAAGGGCTTAAGGGGTTCACAAAACTCGCTAGAGTATATAAAAGGTTTCCAGAGGTTTATAGATACTTTCCAGTGTTTTTGGGGGTTTATAGTTATACCCGTTTACAGAGCTTTTTAATTGTTCTTAAAGTTATCCATCTACTTATAGTGCATTTCTTGGGTATTTATCGCCTCACGCCTGATGCTTTTGTAGATCTTCAGTGCTCCTTCAATCTATAGGAAGGGACTGTGGGACTCCCTCGACAGAGGTTTAGCCACTAAAACCAATCCCCTATGCCGTAGTAGCTTAGGGTACCGCTTGTACATTTTTCGCTAGGAATGTCCATTAACCTAGCAGAGCAAGGTCAGCAGAACACAATCAAACATATTGCATAATTAAGTGCCCTATTCCCGAATTAAATGCTCCTTTTTTTTAAATTATTACATGTTCTGCCATGTTCATATGAACTCAGCACAGCACTACCTCAAAAAACCAAGAAAACTATAATTAGGTGCTAATTAAGTGTCTTATTCCCGAATTAAATGCTCCTTTTTCTAAATTGTGAACCTGGCAGAACATGTAATAGTTTAAAAAAAAGGAGCATTTAATTCGGGGATAGGGCACTTAATTAGCACCTAATTATAGTTAGTTAACTTTTTATTTTCTTGGGTTTTAAAGGTAGTTGCTGCTGCTGCTGAGTTCATATGAACCTGGCAGAACATGTAATAATTAAAAAAAAAGGAGCATTTAATTCAAGGATAGGGCATTCAATTAGCACCTAATTATGCAATATTATTGATTGTGTTCTGCTGACCTTGCTTTGCTAGGTTCATGGACATTCGCTATATAGCCGGTCGGGGGCAGATGGTCGCTCCCTAGATGTTCGCCAAAAGTGTAGTTATAGCTCACTGCCTATTTCTTTCCGTTTCGCGCCCTGCGAACTCTCTGGTCCTCACCACTCGCATGACAAAAGCGCGAATACTGCCCCAGAGGTTCGTATTCTCCGTCATCAAGTTCACTATGTTATGCTATCCTATTATTGTACCGATCCGAGCCTCAAGTGTCGTCCTTTTTCACCTCTCATCTCGGGCACTTGATCTTCGTTTCTAGGGATATCCTCTGCTCCATCACTTCCGAGGTAGTCGCGACTATCCTCTTCTTCCCATCATGACGAGTTTGGTTTTTGCTGGGGACTAGTGTCAGCTTGCGGACCACCTCGTCACGCACTACTACCAGGAGGTCGTCGGCAAATCCCATCAGTTCTACCCCTTTAGCGGTTGATATCCTATCAGTACCTCGTCGTACTTCACGATCCACAAAAGGGGCCCGGGGACAGATCCATGAGGCACTCCCGTACTAGATCTAAACAACTATACGTGTCACCGGACGGTTTCGTTCCATAACGATACGGTTTGAGGTAATCCTACATCCCTAACCCTTACCAGATAATGCGGCACTTTAATTTCAAGCAGCGCATTCACAATGGATCTTCTATTCCCTGGGTTAAAGGTCAACCTAATAACATTACCATTATTCACCTACAGACGATACGCAATGTGTACTAACTAAACTAATTAGGATAATTTTGCGAAAACCGCATAACTTTCTGTTCCTGCCTCAGTTTCTGGAATCAAAGTTAACTTTAGTTATCAAAGTTAACCACTTTAGGACTTCGTATCCAACCTAACTACCAACAACTATTGTGTAAATGTTCCTATTTAAAATAGTGGATCGCATAGAAACGTAGGAGTCGATCGAAAAAGAATCTTTCCAATCTGAATACTGTGGCTTCCACATTTTTAGCCCCTCCTGAAGTTAAAATGACGATTAGTCCTTTAAATGATGGATTACGTATAAAGGAGATTGGCATTCGGTTGTAAAATGTTAATACTGTTATAGTAAATCCTACCCTCACTTCGAATTTTAACTAAAACGCTTTGGCGAAAGTTTTCCTTTAATTAGATTTACTTACATTATCTCGAAAGCGTGCTGCATTCAAATGCTACCGGTACCGTTGAACGTTGAAAAATTAGAGGATTTTGCTGCCAATCCGATAAAGATATGTATTCAAACGTGCACGCTAAATGAATAACATTCATGTTAATAAAGAAGAGCTACTCGATTAACAAAAATGTCGCAATAAAATGTTTATGACATAAACAAGTAGGAAAATGGTTCCGACCACTAATAAAGAACTCAGATTTATACAAGATTATATTAAAGATGCCGCCGATAGAACTACGTCCGCAGTTCCAAGAACCAGTTTCGAGTAGTTTTTAAAAGTCACTTGCAAGGTATTTCGCAATGGGAACGATTAAATCGACAATTACGAGCATAGATGTTTTAATTTTAATGTTTGCTATATTTGGCGTGCTTTGAACGCTGATGAACTCAAATGAAGTAGATCTAAATTACTTTAACTGGATTGAATAAAATTCCGTTTTGTTTAGGTACATCATCGATGTGTACGTCACATGAAGAAGTCACAAAGTCAGACACCTTGCAAAAGAATAATTTTGTTTTTGGCATACAAATGTAGCAAGATTAAGAAGTTCAATGTATGAATGCCATGCAGTACATTCAATATTTGTGCTATCTTTCGAAATCATATAAATTTTGTGCCCTTATGATTTTTGAAATAAAATTGTCCACTTTCAAGCCCAGTCGATGTTGTAAAATTAAAATTCTGTTCGTATCTCAATTTTGTGCTATTTTTTGCAAGGTTAATACGGTTTATAAAATTTTTATTTTAATTAAAATTTTTTGCGCGTATTTATTTATATTGCCCCTCTTGTTGTGGGCCGTCAACGGGGTTCTGTCCATTTACAGAGTGGCCCTTATTGCCCCACTTGTTCTGGGCCCTCAACGGGCTTCTGTTCATTTACACAGTGACCCGCACAATGCTTTTTAGAGGTCCCCCTTTAAAGTACTCCGGTATGTACCTTACGAATTAGGAAAACTGCAAGAAAACCTATTTCGGAGTAGTCGGCAGAATGCTCGAAACTGATCTAAGGAAATTCCCATCTCTGCCACAGATGAAAAATTCTTACCTCAGTCCAGGTTTGAACACCCGACCTCCGGCTATGTAGACCAACGCTCTACCACTGAGCTACACAGTCTTTTTGAGTTATTCAACTTTTTTAAATCTCTTCGTATACCGATTTTCTGCTGTAAACAGAGATTTTAGTCATGCAAAATAGAGCGTTAGCAATAACCCCCTCCCCCCCCGCCCATTTATTTACTTCAAACGTTTTTGAATTTTTGGAGGTTGTTAAGAGAATATTCCAATATTTTTTAATGCACCTTCTGAGACATTCACTATACTATCTGTTTTGTTCTTCTCTTCGTCAGAGATTCCTAGCAGAATTTTATGAGCATATTGAGGGTATCCATACTTAGGGATCTTTTAAGTTCTGCAAAATATTCCTTATGATATTCTTACTGATGAAGTTCCTCAGGGTTCCTAAGAAATTCTTCTTCCCCGTTATTGCAAAAATTCCTAAATTATTCATAGATTCTGTTGAGATTCTTTGTACATTTCTGAAGTAATTCCTGGAGTATTTTTAGATATATATATGATCCTTCAGGGTGGTTCTCTACAAGTTTTTTTTGAAGATTCATTGGATATTTTATAGATATTGTATGGTAAGAATGCATCTTCATTTTCTTATAGTTCAGTTTTAGTTATTTAGAATGTCATTGTCCATTTCGTTCTGCGTTAAAGCATCTTCAGAGACCTTTATCAAAAGCTCTGGGGAAAAGCTTCAGCCATTTTTAAAGAAATAAAAACATCTTCATAACATGTTTATACATTTTTCCATGGTTTTAAAGGTCCTTTGGCGAATGGTTAAGAGCTCTATATAGCAGGTGATTAATTGATATGCAGCGCTAATCCCACCACGCCCCCTCGCAAGAGAGACATGCGGCAATCCGCAATGATGACCACTTAGCACTTAGTTTTGGTTACCTTCATTAGGCGGCCCACCTCACAGTCGAAATTTTTCCATTAATAATGAAAATACTGCTTTGAACTTTGAAGTTATTGTTTTATGGACTAAAATCTCTAAAATAAATTACTACAGCATGGGAAGTTCGCGGTTTTTTCAAGGAGTTTGTCCGTTATTTTCTAAATTCTTCGGTGTATAGCCCCCTCAAGGGTGTTTCAAAGATTCGTAATTTTTTACAGATTCTTGAACGATTCTTTATATATTTTTTAAAACGTTAAAGTTTCTCCACAAAATGGTCGGAGAAGTTTCGACATCCTTGAGTGATTTCTTTAAACCGGGAAATAATCTTCTGAGAACGTTCTCCAAGAGGTCCTTCAAAGATTTTTTTAGATATATTTTAAGAGTTTCTTAAAAAGCTATTCAAAAGATCTGTTCAGACTCTTAAGACTCTTGTAAGTACTTATATTTAGGCATCTTCCAGAGAGTCAAGGATTTTTAAGAATTTTTGCACAAATTTACTTTTATTTATTTATTTATTTATTTATATACGGGAAAATCCCTATTTCAAATATTGATAAGGATTTCTTTAATACCCATAATATTCTTATTATTAAAGATAATTGATTTTGGCAAAATCTTTCTTAGAGAATTTTTCCATGGCGATACACAGCTTTTATGTAGGTAGTTTTTCTTATATGACCCTACACTACATTTTTGTATACAGACCACACTATATATTTTAGAATTTTTGGAAAAAAAGCGTAAAATTTTGATTCATCACTTTTATTATATTTATATTAAATATTATTTGCATTATTGCATTTTATACATTAAAATATATAAATTTCAGACATCTTGGTTTCCATGGCGAGCAAAAGATGGCAATCATATTATTTATTTATGTATTATATTTGTTTTATTCACATAAGTGTTCCGATGAATATTTCTACTACCACCAATCTGTCATATTGTAGATAAAAATTAAAGAAATTCTTACTGTGGCGTAATCCCTAAGATAATGAAACACCTGTAGCACAATCATTCTGCTGTTCACGTACATAAATTACTTACATAATTGTAAGAAGCTCTGTACCTCTGACTCGACATGCGAGACGTAGCCAAATCGACTTTTAAGTCTACCACCTATTGCATTTAAAACATATCATCGATTTACACCCTGTATATACTTGCTTACAATATTGCGACTTTTTTCAACAACTTCAGTGTTTCGTTTATAGTAGGTATGGATGGGATAACCACCACATAGGCTACTTACCTAAAGCTACTCTAGCACTAGTCGCTTCGTGATTAATCCAAAATGACACCCAAGAGAGCATGACGATTAGTATACTGGGTAGATACGTTTGAAATACAAAATATCCGATATTCCTTTGCAATTTAAATGAAAGTGAAAGTCTTTGATAGATTCCAGTCGCAAGACGTTCCTTCCTGTCGTTAGTCTCATAACCTATTATAGTAAATTGCGGCAATTCGGCTTCCTCGACGCCTCTAACTGGAGTTTCCTTCCAATACATCACGACGTCCATAACTGTATATCCATCTGAAACAAATCAAGGACAGTTTTAGGCTTTCAGTATTGTTAAAGCTTCGTATGAATTAAGTATGTCAAACGAGCTTATTAATAATTCATAATGTCTTAGAAAGCGAACTCGTTACATATTCTATCGTTCAATTTTTGTGTAGGTACATACTTACAACTTTCAATTTCTACGGTGCAATTTTGGGAATCGAGGGGGTAATAGTGCAAGTCCATCATACATGCGAGCGTTGTGGTGAAACGCATTCCGTAGGTAATTGCCCCGTCGCCGTTTAATCTCACCAGTTTGTTTCTCTCGGTAACGTCGTGCAAAAAGCTGAAAAAGACGATTACCAAATAATAAATTGACGTAAAAAGTTTAATTAAATATTCCACAGTAAGCAGTCCTTAATTTTATTATCGATTAAATTTTTCAGATGTGCCGAGAATTGGGTTAAGTATATACTTTGCAGAATGTGACGGTCGCATCAACATCTTCAGGGCTTAACAGATTTTGTCGTAAACACAAAATGAACTCAATAAAGCGTATATATATTTTATATTTGATTTTCTGTGGGATTTTTCAATTTCCGTTTCAATAAGTATATAAAATAAGAAAGTGTGTACATATGTGAGACAGACTTGCCTATTTTTGTCGTTTGCGAAGAACGTATCGGGAACCCAGATTTTCTCCGCGAAATCTCCGGAAAGTGTTAATATTTCTTCATCGGTGCTAAAGGCCAGTCGTTCGTCTTTCCAATATTGGTTTAGATACATTGTGATCGTGTAGTCCTGTAAGCAAAAGGTTTACGTTTAGTGGGAAACAAACAATCGTCGCATTTTGTTCTACGTTTCTTGTAATTACTTCGCAGGTAGCAGAGATGATGACAACAGACTCGTTTTATGGCAGGTGATTAGGAATTTATTTAAGGAAGTTGGAAAACGTGCAGTAAAGCTCATCAAGGATGCTCCAGATTATCGATGATCACGTTAGCAGAGAGTGGCTAAACGAAATTAAGGGCGAGCGCGGCGTATAATGAGCATAATTATGAAACATAAACACTGACTGGATTTATGGCCTTTGCTAATTTGAATAAATGCATCAATGGTAATTTGTTCAACAACTCGAATAAAATTTCAATTTTTTAGTATAAATTGTGTTATAACTGAACAAAACGATCTTGATACTATGTAAAGTAGATTACGTCAAAGTATACGGTAATTATGCAAACCAAGTCAAGGGAAGCTTATTCGATAAAAAACACATTTGTACACAAACTCAAATGAAATCTCGATTATCCTTGTAAAGCACGACTGACATATTTAAGCAATCCATTAATCCTTTGTTAATACATTTTTATCAACTGGCTTTCGAGCCTTTATCACTGCGTCAGAGTGAAACCACCACCTTTTGAGTAACAACCTTCAAAAGTCAACATGACCGGAAAGGCAGATTTTCCATTATATTATTTCACCAAGAAACGGTTTCTTGTCTGACGTCATTGATTATAAAAATTTGTTAATCAATTGTTTTATGCTTGCTTTCATTACAATTCCTTGAAAGGGTTTTCCGAAATGTCCATCGCGTTTATTTAGGAGAAAATCGTTTTTTGGGAGATCAGAAAATTATTTCGAGTTTGTGCTTTGAATACTTGAAGCACTTTATTTCAACCAAATGTACAATTTCTCCATTATAGGATTGTTTTTTCTGTTGCTAATAAGTAATAAAGCTTTGGTTCAAGTCAATTCCCCGAAGTCTGAAAGACCATGTAACACAACTTGTATTTGGGAATTTTTGCTGCGTTTAAATGTGGAAATACTGAAACTATTCGACCAATCTTCAATAGTAGGTATCTACCAAACGTACTCTTTTGCTTTTTCTGCTCCCGTTCATTTGCATTTTATCTACTTGAATATGCCCACTTTCCAAAAAGAGAGACAAATTAGTAACCTAATCCAAATGTTGCAAGGCGACTATGGAATGGACTGAAATTAAAATCCTTACCGGTGTATGGAAAGTTGCCCAATTTAAATAGCGAAATAAATAAGATTTGCATTGAAAGAAAAGAAGATGTGTTGCATTATACTGGCCTTTGTCGTCTCTTTATATTTGACCACGAATGGAATTTATCGTAAATATGGGGTCTACTGACCATTGACTAATGAGGTTTCCATTGTAGTAATAAATCCACCTCATCTCTGCTATAGTTGCGAAAATTATATTTATCATAGTTTCTTTAATAGTCTTAAATTTGATATCATTTCTTTGAGTACAGTTACAGGGGTAGGATGAGGTGAAGAAAGTTTTACGATTATTATATAGGAAACGATTAGTATCACTGGTTTTGTAATTTTTTTCTCTATACGTAAAAATCCAATATGGCGTCTATTTAAAATAAGGAAGCTGATGTCGCTATCTCGGAAACCGCCATTTTAAAAATGTTGTTTCTATGTTCATTGAATTTATCCTATCCAATCTTGCAACTTTTATTTGAAACTTTTTCGATAGCTCTCTTTGTTACTAAACGATTTTGAAAAACTTGAAATAGTTCGGAGAGCCGAGAGAATTATTAATTTTAGTATAAAACCAAACAACTCGTAGTATAATCGAAGAATCCAAAGAGGCGCGTTAAACCAATTCGAAGGGTCAAAATCGGAAAGATTCAAATAGAAAAGGAACATCTGAACATTCGAAGAATCTAAACAATTGCGAAAGTTTAACGGAACTTATTAATCTAATAAATTCTGGATTGGAAAAATTTGAGCCACTTGAGGAATCATAATAATTCGAAAAAACGGAAGAATCCGAAGGATTATTAAAATTCAAATACATTTGTAGAAAGATCTGATGTATACTTATCATAAGAAAGGAAAAAATGAAAGAAATGGAAAAAATTAAAGAATGTAAATAATAACAAAGATCTGATAAAAGGAAAGATTTTGAATAATCCGAACAATCTGAAGTCAGATAAAATCTAGAAGAATAGACAGAATCTGGAAGTTCTGAAGACACAACAGAATCTGAAGAAAGCTCATGAACTCTCAGTATAATTCGGGGATTTGAAAGAGGATTGGAAAAGCTCGAAAAAAAGAATCCCGAAAAGCGGGCGAATTTAAAGAAATTGAAATACTTTCTCAAATTAACTTTATAGTTTCTCGAATAAAAGTGGAAAAGGTGTAGATCTAAAAAATTGGAAGGGCTTCAGAATAGGAAAAACATTAAAACTGATTTCCAAGAAACTCAAAAATCCGCACTATTTAAGAATTTGTAAGATCGATGGATCAGAGAAATCAAAAGAATCCACAGAACGAACAATATAAAGTAATTGATGACAAAAGTTTTGGCAAAAGATTATAAGTGTGATACACGTTCTCATTCGGTTTTTAGGAGTTGAAGAAGTATATCAGTAATGGTGCCGCAACTTCAACAACTGTGAGCTACAGCATTATTCTTTATTCATGTTGTGATAGTGGGTCACAATGGAAAGACAAGGTGATGAGAGGGACAGAAATAGTACAAGTTGTTTGTGTACTTAATCGAAAGTAAAAGTGACGACAAAGTTGTTTAAATGACGTGCGAAATCCACACACTGTAGTATTCCACACTTTGTCATTGACCATTTTAGGAACTACCCCAATTGATCAACGAAGGTTATATTTCTGTAGTCGATAGCGAAACGTGACTAAGAACCTAATATTTGAGCTTTCGAAAGCTTGCCGAAAAGCTTAACGCATGTCGGACCGCATTGACGCACAATGCGATTTAACTGGGTTTCTAAAATTCCTTTCATTAGTCAGATACGCTAAAAAAAGCGCATTGTGTAAGGCTTGAAAATTGAGTGTCGCTTTTATGGAGATTTAATTTTATTCGTTCGGAACCGACGCGACGCCACAATGGAGTGAATGCATTACGACTATTACGAGCCGATAGTAAGTGCAGATTTGTCAGTTACATCTACATACCAAATGTTCTTCCGTTGGTAGCAATTAATTACCTTACTTGGGATTAGTACGAGTACGGTTTCTTGAATATCAGATTTGATACTTCTTAAGTTGTAGAAACTATAATAGTAATGGGAACTCCTAATAATTGTGTATTTCACAATGGAAATAATTATAATTAAAATAATTGGTACCTTAGTAATCGTTCATGAGGGGCAGGTGGAGCAGGGTGAAGCGGAGTTTCCGTGCATAAAACCTCTTGAATTTGACTTTGAATAATTTTTGGTAATATGCGTCAGCCGAATTTGTGGGCAGAAAAATGATGATCAGGAAGCAAGAAGTGGGATATTCCAAAATGTTTGGGGGGGGGGGTCAATCGGCGCAGAATTTAATGCTATTCACTTTGTCCCCTAGTAAGGTTTTCGCTACGATGCTTTGTTTGTGTGTTAAAAGCGAATAATTGAAAAAAGTCCGATAATTTCGAAATTTCTGGGGCACCAAAAGTTATCTACAACTCTTGCCCTATTTTACTAGACGATAATGGCGGGTCTAACGTTTATTTTGTTTGTGGTGTTTTGAAAGGTGTATTTACAGGTCGCAATCATTGTTGTACTAACTATTAACCATTGAATTTCATGTCAGAGTTTGTTATTATTTACAGTTTGCATAAAATACTGGTATTGATGCGTGGTGTACTTCAAGCTTTTGTTTAAATGCCGTTACTGACATGTTCGTTTGTTATACTGTACACGTATACCGAAATGGATATTTAACTTGTAAAGAAAGCGATCGGAAGGTCAGTTAATAAAATTCCATTGTATAGCAACATACTGAGAAGAAATATGCAATTTAGAGTGACTCAATGAACTTCATCGAGTAAAGATATTAAAATGTGCGAGTTAAGAACAATGAATTGTAAAGTTACAGTGGTACAATATTGTTGGCACTGTTAATGAACTTCAATTCTTGCCGTACTTCAATAACTGAATTCAATAATAATTTGCAAGTTTAATGGTAATTACAAGTGGGTATAATGATTGAATAAGTAATTATCACTTGCTAATAATCCTATATAAACCTGGGTGTGGTGAGAGTACTACCATTTATGCGTTCGGTCGTAGTAGACCGAAAATTAAGGACTCGGTCAACGAAACCAGTTACGGGGAAATATAAAATAGCATGCAAAGATAATAAAATCTGATCCAAAAGAGAGTCGGATAACGTGGCGCTCGGTTTCTTGCCGACGGCAGCTGGAGAAATCACTTCCTCTCGAACAATGGGGTTGGAAAAGAGGTGAAGATGGACACCTTTTCCCAGTAAAGAACACCGTTGCTCTACTGCGAACTACGGGGTCAGCTGTGGGTGTAAGAAGGCTGGCATATTTTGTACCATTGTCTGGCCCAACTGCCAAGGAAGCTGCTTTAACTCTCCACCAATCCTAGAAGAAGATGAAGAGAAGACCTAGACGATCCTCATGGAGAGGAATTGTACGTACATCTGAATTTGACGATATCTTCGCTCACGAAATTTCACTTCATTTTCGTGTAGGTAAAGTCCAACTGTCGAAGCATGTTAGCTCGAAGAAAGTTTCGACCGAAAATGTGAGGTTTTTGAAAATTTCTCACCTTCAAGAGCCCGTAGCTGGAAAACGATGCGTTTTTTCAAAAAATGTATCAAAGTTGTAGAAGATTTGATGAGCTTTAAATTTTGATAAGAATATATTTTAATACGACCCACCATTTTCGAAGTATAGCCGAAAAACTGCAAAACTGTACCTTCAACCCCCTCTCCTCCCACCGGCGGCACCGAAATCGCTCGGGACTTTATTGCACGATCGTCAGGTGACCTTCAACCACACATTCCCGAAAAAATTGGAACTACACAAATTATTTTTTCTATATTTCCTACAATGACTGGACTAAAAGGCAAAAGTGAAGAGTCATATGTGCGGGTTTTCCAGAAATTACATGAATTAAAAATAAAGTTTTTTATTTTTTTTATTTTACCTTTATTTTTGAGTGGGCGCGGTTTTAGCCAAGGCTGCTCTACCAACCCAACCCACTATACATTTACAAATATTCATGCCCGAACCCGGATTCGAACCAGGGACCCTTAGCACCACAGTCCAGCTTTAAGTGAACTGCGCCACACGGGCCGGCTTCAGTTTCATAAGTGCCTTAAATGAAGCAATACAGTTGCCTCAAAACTAGAAAAGTTATTTACATAGTCAGTCACAATGAAGTCGTAAATTTCATTATAAAATTATGAGCACGTCAACAGTTAAATTACTGAAATAGGGCACCTCACAGAGTACTGTGTTTTATAACTTTTAATTGCTTGTGTAATTATTGTTCTCAGGAAAATACAATTTCATATTTAGTTATTCAGTATCTAGGAAGTACTTTCATATTTACTTCTGATGTACGTACATTTGGTAGCTACTTTAACATGTGCTTTCTGTTGAAGCACCTATTTCACATTAGAATTTAGTTCTACATTCACTAAACCAAGTAACATTGTAAGCATTGTTTAATTTCTGATTTGGGTCAGAATAAATACTATGCAAGTGACTAACCAGACTAGAAAAATGGTGGCGAAATAGATACATACCATATTGACTTCGGATATGGCATCGAAACTGGCAATGGTGAGATCCATTCCAACACGAAGGGGATCACCTGCAAAAAACGTGAGGTTAGAACATTAAAGACCCTCATCTAAAATGTGATATTAAAACTAGCTCCCGACGTTTCTCCATTGCAAAATTCTCTACTTGCAGAAACGGAAGAGTACGAAACTATTTTTAATGAAAAATGAAGTTAATTTAAATGTCACATCGCCCTAGAAAGTTGATTTCAATATTGCATCTCTCGAGAATTGGCCTTTTAGCTAAAACATAGGAACGTACATTTCTCGTTTCACTACTGCAAAATTATTTTCTGCTAGTAATAGTTACACAATAAATTACGGCCTAAACGCACATAAAAAATCAATTACGTACAACACTACACCGAAAAAGCGATGGGGTAGATTTAAGAATAGAAAATTTAATTGTTTTGATTGCCGTTCTCTAGATCGAATGAGTTCTTTCAAGTTCGATTTTAATTGAAATAATCCTCATTTTCTCATAGAAATGCAATTTGTTCCCCCTGCTGCATTTAAGTACTCGAACGAAGGAGATGCTCGTGACGTGACCCACATGTTTTTTGTACAGTTTTAATCTATCAATGACAGCCAGAAGCGAGGGAGTTTGTTTTAATGATAAACTTTTAACGTTTACTACAATTTTCCAATAATGGGGCACGTCAAACGTATATCATTATAAATCATTTGAAGAGATTCCATTAAATTCCGTTTAAAACGTTGGCATTATTGCCCTGTAGACAAATTTGGTCGGAATAATTGTGAATGATGTATCTTACAATGACACTACGTAAAAGGACGGCGGAAAACGCCTCGAAAAGGGTTCGGAAATAATACAGCATTCGGAAATGTGTAAATTAGAGATTGACTATATTGGGTTGAATAGGCCGAGAAGAAGTGACTGATTTACAAGACGTATTGAATCAGATTTCAATGTAGGTGCAGATGTTGTAAATTTAATACCCATTTGGACACTGTCAAAGTCATAAACCCTCGCCCATTCAACAGGTGTAATCATCCCCTTTCCAAGTGAGAGATATCTAATAATTGAGATGTAAATGATGACGATAAGCTAAATTTGTAATAGTGAACAAGAAAACTAGGAAATACAGTTTTCTTAGGGGTCTCTTCGACAGTGTTACTTTTCATCAAAATAATTGAACGTGAAAAAAAGGTATTTCGTCCACACAAAAACTGCTGGCTACTGAAAATTTTTGAAAATGCTTTTTTGAAATAGATTTCACAAGATTTTTAAAATCTGGATTGTAATTCCTAAAATTAGAACTCTCAATCAAAATGAAAATTCACGACGCGATATTGTTCAGGGTGACCAAATTTGATCGTTAGTATGGGGTAACTTTTCAACTATAAGAGATAGAGATTTACATCACAATCTCGATGTATCTTTTAGAGATAAACTCGATGTTAAAAACCAAACTGGCCTACAGTTATTTGATTTTGAGCTATGAACAAACGATTTTTAGAAGCCTATATCGCCCTTTATCGGAACTGTGTTTGCATGTTAAGAATCTTTTTTGAGAAGAATTGAATGGCATTAAAATGTTTACAAAAATTCGTCAGTTATTCATTTTCATCGCAAACATATTTTTTTATATAAAGTTTAGGTAACGATCCCTTCTAAAATATACTATAAGCGGGGCCGATTCCCACCTTTCATCCGATATTTTATAGATAATCTACTATTCAAGGTGTAAAATATGAATTAACGCAATCATCGTAATGGACGTTTGCAAATGTTATTTTTGTATTCTTTCTCGTAACCGCGAAAATATGGCTTTTGAAGGTTCTGAAAAATATGATATGTTATGTTATGTGTTTTATTCAGCACAATAACAATTTGGATACTGCAGCTGAAGCAAATTTCAATCAATACCCACAGAAACGTAAACCTCATAAAATCGATTATTATAAGATTTAGGGAAAATCTTACCAATTATGGAGCATTTGGGACACCGAGGCGCAAATATAATATAATTCGAGATTCAGAGGAGGTAACTGGTATCATTGGAGGCGTCCAACCAGATGGCTGCCTGTTGGAGTTGAAGCGCGACTGCGGTACTAGGGGTTCCTGGTTCGAATCCGTGTTCCGGAATGGATGTTTGTAAAACTATAGTGGATTAGGTTGGTAGATACAGTGACTCTATAATGCTTTATTAACAGTTGTAAGATATGGAGCATTAGGGCCACACTGTCTTTATACTGTAGGTATAGCAGCCTTGAAACACCGCTCACTTAAAAATAAAAGCCAAAAATAAAATAAAATAAATGTAAATAAATTCAACTATAATTATAAAATCGCCAAATTGAAGCTAAATTCGGAATATCTAAGAGTAGGGCTTTGGCCATATTGAAAAAACACTAATTCAGACCTTACACCGTACGAAAGTAACAACTGTTGCCGACTGATTTTTAATGTAGATAGGAATTTTGTCATTGGAATCTTCAACAAATTTAACCAGATACATTCTTCTACAGGAACACGAGGCCGATATGAGTAGTAGCCGTTTAAAGTAACGGATTAAATAAGTGAAGTTTAAAAAGAGTGTTTCGTTTATTAAGCAGTTCTCGCTTATGTGAAACCTTTCCTTAAGATCTTCAAGTATCACTTAATGGGAGTGTTTCCACCATCAAAGAGCCAATATTATATCTCAAATTACAACGAACCCCGCCTCATGTAGTTGAAGTTCCCCAATCAGTTGGTTTTTGTGTTTGTGCGTCCTTTAATGAAAATCGCAAATTACTACAGGATATTTTGGATTATTAACACTTTCTTTAATTAATTGTTTCAATCGATCGCTTGTTGAGTGGTATTTGTACTTTAACTCTGAGTGTCCATTTTTCTTTCAGTTTGGCTGATTGACTTTGTCGAATAAATTTTGTTTCATTTGTAAATGATCTATTGTGTGCTTCATTGAACCTGAATTACGACCTAGATAGCAGTTCTTTTGCTGCACCCGGGGTTAAGCCAGGTGCTTGCATAAAAATGTGTCATATATATTTTTTTAAGAAGAAATCACGCAGCGTTAAATAAGGTGAACGTGGTGGCCATCTTACTGGTTGGTCAATAATGGGTTCCTACCCAAATTTCAAAGTTGGAAAGTTCAATTTTGATATTTTTACATTTAGACCTTTTATGTAGCACTAATAACACCGTATGAAGAAAAGTTGAAAAAACTATTCAGCAAACCGTAAATATTTTTGGAAAATCAAATAGTGTTCTGTGCAATGCACATAAAACTTCAAATTTTTCCCAATTGAACCCAATCGTATGTATTATGTTAAAGTTTTTCTTGTATTTTATTTAATTTCGACCGCCAACCTGATGTTTCCTAAAATTTCCGTCCCAATTTCCCCTTTATACATTGTTAGTTGGGTCTCTTTATTTGCCACAATTTTATTTAATTTCCCATTTAAGAGCATGCAAAGTAGGTCGTACACCTATACTCCCATACCCTTTCTTGAAAGTGATTCATCGATCATTAATTTTTTTCTAATTTTTATTTGTTTTTTTAATAAACTTTGATTGTTGGTGGACGTTTTATGATCATTTTTCATTTTATCCTATTTCTATTTATTCTCACTAAATCAAATTTTAAATTTTGTTTCATCACAACATCTTCTCTTTGAATCCACGTCCAGTAATATATCTGCATATGCTATTTCTGTTGTTTTATTTCTTTATAATATACGCACAAACATATATTTTTCTAATTGTAATTAAAGATGTTTGTTAATTAGCGCTTTATCTGAGTATGAGATAGCAGTCACCTGGGGTGTACATTTGCATAGAAGCATTTCTTTGTGTTAATACTTATAGAACTTATATTCTTATAGAACTTTATACAATTCTCATAATATATAGGGTGTCTCAACGAAAACGAAACAGACTGAATAACTCGTAAGGAATCATTTTTGGAAAAAACGCAAAAACACGTCAATTTTGGTTGGAAGGGGGACATCTTTTGCTTAAAAATTTACACTCCTGGCGTAAACCTCCTAATCAGCTTTGCCACACATCGTTGGAAAGGGCTCTTAATTTGCTACACGTCTATGGTTTATTTTTCAAATTTGAGCGAGTCGTTTGAAGGATAAAGGGTGTCAAATGATAAATAATTCAAATGTTTACGTCAATGAACACGTTTTTAAGTAATATTAGTTGCAAAAATCAATGCGGAAGAACAGAAACCTTGAGAAAAGAACATAATAAAACCTCCTTCCTTGCGATTTATTCAGTCTGTTTCGTTTTCGTGGTATCTGTATAAGCTGACGCGTGTCAAAGAAAATCATTTATTATTTTAGTTTAATTAATTAATGATTTAATTAACAAATAGATAGCAATTTGAGGTAGGTGCCAATTTAAATCGCTCAATGTAACCTTTTGACAGAATTTTTAAGATTTTCGTGATTTAAGTTTTGGATAAAAGATCATAATGAAACTAAAATGATCAGTGTTTTCCTGGGTAGGATATTCTCGAAGGACGGACATTTGAAGAAACTTTCAATAAATACTATACCGATTCGAATTCAGATAACACATTACGAGTGATATAGCGAGATTTTCCCCGGAGAACTAACCCAAAAATGTTCAAGAGAAAAATCCCGATAATATACGAGAGTTGAGTACTAAAACGGTTCCTTACAATAAATAATAATAAGAATATTAAGATACAAAAATTAATTTTACATCTCGTTACAAAGTCCTTTCCAAGTTGCTTCAAGCAACTCAGTTATGGAATTGAAAAGCTGGAGATGGAAAGTGTCAACAACAACAAAAAAAATGCAAATAAAATCCAGCGAAAACTTTATTTGTTTATTCGTGAAATAAGAAAACTTAAATCGTTTAAAAAGGCGAAGACCCCTCAGTTTCATATGCATTTAATTCAGCATTGTGATCGCTCTCATGAATGAAGCAAAAGGACGCTATCGCATATAAAGTAGATTGAATCGGTTTGAAACCTTGTTACAACGGTAACCCCTAAATTTCTTTGAGTTTGTATGCTTTAAAAGTGAAACGAAGCGCTGACGCTCATTTTCTTCCGAATTTCTATTTCTCATAATTAATTAGTCAACCGCGATATTTGAATTCACAAAAAAAATCCGCTGTGAATTAGCATTCGGTTTTGATTTATGCCATCAATTGTCGATGATCCCAAAAAAATTAGGTTATCATAAACCAATTATTGCCAAATCGAAATGGATTTCAATATAGGATTAAAGAGAGCAAAGCGAGCCTCTGCTTGCTTTTAACCGGAATTCTGCAATGCGTTTCAAAATTCTCTCTAAAATGAAGCAAATATTTGCGAAAAGGATTATTAAGCTCGCTTAGTCTACGATGGAAAAAAAACTTACTATACCTCCAAAATTAGGCCGCAATCGAATATCGTATCCTTCTAGCAACTTGGAGATTGTCTGTGTCACGTTGTCCAATCTATCCGAGACCATGGTTTTTTTAATTCTGAAACAAAACATTCTCACTGTCACTTTGACATAGACATTATGCTAAATTCTTAGTTCAAAGCTTAATTCTACACAGAAATGGTTGACGTGACTTGTGTGGACTATTGTTTTTTCGGTTATATGATTTTGATTGTGCTAGCAATGCTTTTTATACTTTTAGGGCGGTAAGTGATTGAATAATAATTGTTAGTGTAATTTCTGTGTAGACTACTCTGACGCGAATAAAAGGATGAAGTTACCCGACGGAACCAGCAATGATGCAACAGTACCAAAAATGAGCAATGAAGACATGTCGCAGGGGCATCCTTATTCCATCCACTTCTTTAGGGGTCTTCTATTGTAAACCCATCATTATCACAATGGTTTAATTAAATATAAATCTATTAAACAGTCCATTACGATCTCTCCTCCCCTTTAACCGTTTAAAATACCTATACACTGCGCAATAATTTTTAGTAACATACGGCTTGATCCACATATTCAACAAAATAATTTATTCGTAATCATTAATTGATAATTAGTTGTAATAATAGGCTATCGTAACACATCACTGAACTTCCACAAAATTTTACTGTCATATTTACTGTTAAATTTGCGTGATTGAATTCATAATTAACAGAAAACAATTAGTATATAAATAAGGTAAATAAGCGCGAAATATTTCGGCGATGCATCCTGTGTAACATCTCCGTTTTGTCAAAAGACGACACTCAATTCGCGCAGGCGTCGGCTAGGTCCACGACGCTCGACGTCGGATGCTGACATCTTTAGGAGTCGATACAACGCTTTCGCATTATTTTCCACCTGCGCTACAATTTTTCTCAAATTCGCGACAGAGACGAATTTTGTAATTGGCCTAATTACAATTTAAAATGTAAGATGGCCGATTTGAATAATTTCGCGTACCGAACAAAACCCCTCGCGCTATTATAATTTTAAATTGAAGGAAATTTTAGAATTTACTCGAACTGGTCGTAATGATGTGGTTTTGAGTTACGCCAGGTATTTTCAAAACTTCCGACGCTCTAATCTAATATGATCCGATTCGATTCATCTTATTGCCTTTGTGAACGAAGTAAACGGAGCCACTCAGACACGAGTCTAAACCCTGCTAGTTGCGAAGTTCACCTATCGAAATTCAAATCTTCTTATTCGAGAAGGAAATAGGTGTGCGTCGTGCCTTTGAGGTAAAAACATAGGTATTTCTATTGCAGCTTTTATCTACGAGAGAAACAGGGATGCTACCAGAGCCAGTGTGAATTTATATAAAAATTGCAAATAGAAATACTACAAGCGATTATTCTATCGAAAAAATAAAACGTGCGCAAATAAGTTCGTTTGGTGGATGCGATTATACAAATTTTATTGTTTAAGGTTAAAAAAATTAGGTACGCATTTGCTTTAAGGGTGTGTTACTTGTACTTAGGGAAGAAGGCGGAAGTTTAGGACCACACCTCATGCATTAATTGCGCTTGTTGCGGTTGCAGCACAGTTTGCCAATAGGACTGGGAAGTTTTCGTACTGTACTAGTCATTTTTTCCGGATTTTTGAAAAAAATGCTCTATTATATTCGTTATGGCTGGCTGTCTGGCTGAGATCTGAGCAATTGCAATAGCCATTGATTTCAAATTTTCACTAAAAGCTTTCTGCTATAATGTAGATGTGCATACTGGCATTCTTTGGTTTTTTATTATCACGGTCTACACCTGTTTATAAGTTTATAAACATATAATTAATTAATGTGTAACTATTTTTGTGAGAAATATTGAATAATATCCTAAAAAATACGCGGTTTTGGCACAGGATACCCTTTTTAAAAATTGAAGAGCACACTAAAGACTATCAAATAGAGAAATAAAATAGTGGCAGTTCCATTTGAAAAAAAATAGTTATGTCAATTCAGATTCACATTATTGATCAAGTGTATTTCTTAACTTTAAAATCAAGATCGCTACGATTTATCAAAGTGGGGAGTGGCTTATAGAGAATTATTCGGAAAAAGATTAATAGTTTGGCAACATTGACAAAAAAATCAAATAGTGAATAACTTTTCATGCAGAGGTTAAACAATGAAATCGAATCGACTAACAATATACAGGATGTTCCATTTAAAAAAATCCGCTGTGTATTGACACATTTGCACAAAAGGTTTTTTGATATTTTTACCAGGTATGAGCTAGAAAAGAACAACGCACTGTTGCAGGACCCTGTATAATACAGAGTGGCAGTCATTTTTAGCGCATTTTTTTAAAGAATGAAAAAGTAATGTGCTATTGTTTGCGTTTTGTCCGTCCGGACTAACTTCTGCGGTTTTGAACTACTTTTAGGGGAATTGTCCTACAGTCCTAAAATTTTTTGAATTAAGGTATGGGCACCTTGAAGGTGTGCCTAACGGCCATCAAATTTTGTTGTGTTAAGGGGGGGCTCCCTCATGAATTATTTTCTAAGATATTGTTTTTGAAAGTAAATTGTAATGAAAGGTCTCAATTAAAGGAATTAATTTCTACCAACCATAGTTGCCATTGTCAGAAAATAAAAGCAAGGGACATTTACGTATTCCGGCGGGAAAAAAAACTCGTATTCGTGCGTAATTCCGTTATTAAAGAACACAATTCCGTCTTCGTTTTTCTAATTATCGCCACGAAGACAATTCGCTTGATATCGCACGGGTTGACTCTGCAAGGCAAATGGCACAGATTCTGCTTCTGAGGTTGCCCGTGGAATCACTATTTTTTCTCCCTTGAATTTATTTATATTCATACCCCTTCTCTGTATCTACTGTAATTATGTTCCACGGCGAAGCGTTTATAAGTTCTGCGCACCTCTTCTACAAGTTTTTGTCAATTCGTCTTCGGTATGAACAGACACAGTTATCAACTCTCCTTATGGTTATTTTATTATAATGACTCATTCCAAATTACCTAATTCCGAATATACACACGTAAAGCAGCGTTTGTCATCCTATTCTATTTACATGTGAAATAAAATTGTATTTCTAGCTGCAATCCTGCAATGGTTATTTGATATTTCTAATTCCCTTTTAGCTCTCTCGCGATTAAATAATATCCCAATTCGGGCATAATAAATTTAACAAATAAAACTTCCTTCCAATGCTAAAACAACCATTCGTACGCTCAAATTTACACGCATCCCTAAAAATAGCTTATGCATTCTTTTAAATTTCTGTACAGGGAAATCCCGTTACAAGCCGTAAGATATATAGGTCTTCCACGTCAACCGATAAGTTTCTGATGTGTCAGAAAGGAATCGTTACGAGCTTCTCTGATGGCCGAATGTAGGTTATGGGTTAACTTACTAAGATGAGTTTTGTCTAACTCGAACGGATTTCTAGAATTTTGCAACGACGTCGAGCTTTGCGTTTATCCTTAAAAAGCTCTCTTATCTGGAGCGGAGTATTCGATACTGTCTTGTTTTTGGCAGATGTGGCCTTCCAAGAAGAATTCTGGTTAGATACTGCACAGCCTGTGCAATCTCATGAGCTTCCTTAAGCCGGAGATCTAGTCTAGTATTTTGGGAAATGTGAATTTTGAACAATTCCCAGTCTGTATTCTTTGTGCAGAGTTTGAGAGGTGTTTTCCAGAGTACTCCAGTGGTTGAGGTAGAAATCTTTATACGACGAAAAAATGCTGCGGGCGATGGACATCGGTTCGGCCTCCAAACTGGCAAAAGGCGTCTTATTCTTCCCGCCTGTTGTATTTAAACAGAACTTCGTGTGGAAATAGTTGCCCTCTGGAGGAATCATTTCGGACGTTAAACTTATATGTTTATTACCAATTCCATGGACAAAGTCAATCTAATCTCTATTGTTTCTTCGTGGCGAAATAGCTTCACACAGAAAGTGGATAATAGTCCGTAGCAAAAAAATACTACACCGGCATGATTTATCCTTGGGCGCGTATGGTTGTAATTTATGCAACGGAGATGCGTTTAATCCGCGTTGCAGTGTTTCTTTTTCTAACAACACAATAATCTCTTCGTGGCTGCAAGTTCCAAAACAAACACGCAACTTTCGCTCCGGTGAATCCCGGAATCGAAAACTAATTGAGATAGAAAAATTATCTACTGCTATCGCCGACAGGTTGAAACCCACAATTTCCTGAACTTATTATGAGGTCAACACGCTATAGAATTTAAATACACATAATGAAAATATGATCTCTAACTTTCAATGGATACTACGACCTCCAAACATATTTACATTTACTAAAATTTTATTATTATATTTCACTCGAATGACATATAAAACCATCTCTTAACTGAAAAGGATTTTGAAAATGCATCTCATTAAAACTAAAATTTAGACACAAGGAACAAGTATAAACGGTTTCGTTGATACGAACACATTAATACGCGGTTTTGCGTAGGTACGAAAGTTTGTTAGTCACAAAACATTTATATGGTTGAACAAAACAGATAGAATTTATGCAAATCAGATTCGTGTAAGGGTCCGAAGGCGAATTTAGGTACTCAAAACCAGCACATAAATATGATTGCATTCCATATTTACATATCTCATCGAAAAGCTGTTACTAAAATTCCCTAAAATAACAGAAAACTGTGGAAGCTTTTAAAGAGTTGAACGAAATACGGTGAATATCTGCAGCTTTGAAAACACCTATCAAAAGTTTGTTTTTCCCAGTTGCATCGCAACGTAATTGAAAGTATACGTACTTACTTCTACAGATAAACATTGGATTGATTCGATATTTTGTAATGCTGTATCACGTACAAATAATTTCATTAATTAACCCGCGCTTCAAGCTCGCACATATATTCGTCAACTTTGAGCGTCCGTATATTTTCGAACTTTATATCCTTAACCTGGAGGAAAGCTTGGACTTCCTGCTGAACCGACGCAGAACCTGATTAAATGGAAGAGTAGAAGGTATACCTTAGAGCTCGCATAGAAATTAAGTTTCAATAATTGTTATTTTATCATACTACGTAAATTAAATTTAAAAAAGAAGGAACCCCTAAATTATTAGGGTAATCTTGTGAATTTAATTAGAAAATAAGCTTTATATTTCCTGTGTATCTTTAACAGGACCTAACTGGAGGAGGTTATTTGTTTCACGAGTGAAAATTTTGCATTTTTTTAAATTTTCAGTTATTGAAGCTTTTCCCATTTAGGTACAAAATTACAACGCCTTAGAAACTAAAATTTTAAAATTTGGTCACGAGTGTGCCAACATCATTATAGAAAAAAATTATATTAGTTCTAAAAGTGGTCTCTTAGGAATTTATTTTTAACAGGGTAGCCAAATCCACAGATTTTTCTTTGTGATAGAATATTTCCCCAAAATATAAAATTTTCCAAGTGACTGAAGGCAACGTTTGCGCTGATTTGTCGCAAAATGACCATTTCATTTCTTACCGAAACCTGAGACCTGAGAAATAACGTAATTCTACGTGTTGTTCTGATTCTTGTGAATCAGGGACCACATATCCTCGCAGTTGGAGCTAAACTCTTAAGTGATTTTCCTGCCATAATGAGGCTTTGCAGCTTAAATAGGTACATTAAACCTTATTAACGAGCGACCCAGCTCGTTTATGATTTTGGACTTTCTGTTCGTCGGTCCCTCTGTGTACATGCTAGCTTGCGAACGGTTTCCAATGTTCCAAATTCTGTTTTCAGTAATAAATAGACAATGGTTAAG